ACATACATCTTAACTCAATATTTGTTCACAACCCACACGCACACCACAGCTTGTTTCTTTATGCATATGGACAACTGTTTCGTATTTGCACTTGTAATCAGCACCCAGAGCGGCAAGCTGCGTCCAAGCGTCTCATTAAGCACAAGTTGGATCCTGCACAGTTTCTGTTCGGACCATCGTCACATTTTACGAGCGTAAATGTCACTTTTCCTTCCTGGTGGAGTGTTTTTTTTTTTTTTAAATATAGTCCCCAGGTGTCGTCTGCTGACGCCATGGTGTTCTGTGTAAGTCACTCCTACATCTCCAATGACGCTGCACATCATCCCACCAGGTGATTTCACAGATTCAGTCAGAAGTTAAAGGATCTTCCAAAGGTTGATGTATAAGAATGAGCTTGACTCTCAAGCTCAGACCAACGGGCCCTTAAATTCAGTGGAGCTGCACCAAACTACACACACTTATAAATATCAATAAAATATCAACGACTGACAGTAATAAAGTTGGTGGTTTTTGAATAATTTAATATTAAATATATATATTATCAAATGTATTATGAGGCTGTCAGGGGACATCTGGTTAGTGTGTGAGTGTGCTTTTGGATTTATTATATATTATTACTATTGACTATCAGGTTGTAGTGTTGCTGTCGGCCGGCAGAAGGAAAAGAGCATTGAGTATTTAAATTTGAAATGTGAGACTGCATGAAATCCATTGGCTCTGTTGTGCTTTGCTGTAAATCACGTTAAAGTCTGAGCAGAGCGCGGCGTGGGAGCAGTAAAACATTTGGCAGCGCACGGGGGGGGGGAGTGAAGGAGCATGGGATTAACAATGAGTCTGTTTTAACATGAAGCTGTTACTCAAGCTCGCGTGTTGACACAACTCACAACACATGATGGGAAATCACCACAGGTTCAGAATCACAAAGAGGATTTTTTACGCTTTTATCGACACGTAAACAATCACGAACAGATTTTTTCAAACATGTCTGTGTGCGACGACACAGACGAGTGCAGCGTCTCAGCAGAGATCTGGCGTAGGATGTAGACATGCGTGTGTTTTCTAAAATAATTCATCTGAAATCATTAGTTTCATGTGGAAGAGCAGGTGCAAGAATGTTTAACATTTATACGACTGAAATCTCAAGCGTCAGGTTTCCATCCAAACAACCAAAGAAATTCATGTGAGGTCTCATTCCTTATTTATTGATTTTCATGATATTCACCAGCGCTGCTTCACTGTTTTGACATTTGAGCTGTAAGAGTTGATCCCTCTGCAGCTTTTTGGGATAAATTCTTGCACCTTAAGTTTCAGGTGAGTCTCCGGAGTCTGGGAGAAACTCAGTTTTCTATATTTTGCCGTTTCATCTCCTCTTCTTTCCCTTTTGTTTAACTCACTGCCTCTGCTGCTGCTGCTGCTGCTGCTGCATCAGTAATAGGATTTTTGGAGCCTGAGCTCTCGGGGTGGCCGTCCGCCAACATGTGTGAAACCAGTGAAACAAAGCTTTGGGAATGTGAGCGGTATTCAGCTCCATTAATCAAGCTAAATCAAACAGACAGCGGTGTAAATCAGCACGAGAGGGCATCTTAGTATAATAAAAAATAAAATCCTCAACGTTTTTTTCTTTCCGTCTCTTTAGCTGGTGGATTTATGCGTCAAGAAAAAAAAACCCCGTCTTTCTTTTCTTTCTCCAGCAGACTTTGTTCCAACGGTTCCATAACTCAGAGTACGTGTTCCCTTCATATTTTCATGATGAATCCGGCAGCTCGCGGTGTGTAATTCTTCTGCAAACGTTTCATCCAACAGCCGCAGCATTTGCATTTCCTGGCACAGCTCGACAGCGCGTCCTTTCGCATCAACCTTTGTGTAAATGCTAGTTTTTGAAAACGTATTTCCACCTGGTCTCACTCACGCAGGAAGGAGCGTTTAAAGAGCTCGTGCAGTTTAAACCACAGCGCTACGTTTCCTCCATCTCTGCTTTATTGAGTTGAACCGACCCATCTGCTTTAGTTGTTCCTGTGTTGTACCAGACTCTCTCGGTTCTTTTACAGCCCCGACAAACTGTCTCCTGTCACTGTGTCCACGGACGATGTGCTTTGATCGTTTCGTTCATGTGGCTCCACCAGGATGTCGCGATTAGAACAGTTTGTCATTTTGGGAAATATAATTCACTCGTCCTGCAGCCGACCCCTGACTGGACCCGCTGAAGATTGTTGTTTGCACAATTCAAAATAAAAACCATATTAGTGAGAGCATTCATTCTTGTTGTGCAGGAAGCTGAGGTTGTCCATTCCCTCATCACATCGTGCGCTTGTGACGACGTCTTTACGTGAAGTGTGAGGATCTGGTCGAGCGTTCGGCTCGTCTGCCTGCAGGAGGTCGTTGTTTGCACGATCCGTTTTTTTAAATCGATCTGAAAGACAAGACAATAACAGAGAAAACGATTATCAGTTGCAGCTTGTGTCAACATTCTAGAGATTTGTTTGACTTTCAATATTCAGTATCCTTCTCTCTGTCGTGTTGTGTATAAAACAGCTGCAGTTGTGGCTCGGTCGAGTCCACATGTTGCTGAAGAGAAGAAAGTCTCAAAGCGTATTTGAAGGCCTCAGGCTGTGCAGCGTCAGAGCTGAGGCTTCACACTCATTACTGAGAGCGAGTTCATGCGAGGTTGAGAGAGAACGCTTGATTTGTGTGGAGGCTCCTGAAAGACCAGGACTGTTTGGTTTAAAGAAAGTCTTGTGTCTTCATGCTGAATCCTAGAAATGTAGAAACAATATTCTTCTCATCTGTTGAACGTGAAGTTTCACTGCAGCAGCGAGCAGGAAAAAAAAAAACCAGGGAACATTTGAGCCTGGACACAAACCTCAGAGATCATGAAAGATTAGAAACGTCAGATTCCCTCTTTTCTCTCTGAATCACGATGGTTTCAAAATAAAAGGATCTCGCTCTCAAACATCAAACCTCTTACTGGAAATTGACGTCTCACATCTGTCCCTGCTGATTAAAGAGGCTCCAAAACTGAAATAAATAATAAATTAAACCGTTTTCCACTCGCTCACGTCAGCCGTCGTTTTGAAACGGCAGCGGACGAGAAGAAATTTTGAAAACCACATCGACTGAAGAAATGTCTTTACCAGTCTGTTGCAAAACCATAAATCTCCTGCGTTTTATATTTGACCAGTCACTGTGCTTTTAATCTGCCGCTGCTCCACATGCACTGGATATTTTTCAAAGCACAAACTCTGCTTTAAGTCTTTTTGTCAATTTAAGAAAGTGTGACACATCCAGGAAGACGAAAAGACCAGAGCGCAGGTTAAACTCTTGAGTGATGATCACTCAAAATATAATTAGAGAACAGTTCTAACGTTTTTCATCGAATGTCCAACTGGTTTCCTGTTTTTTTCTCTGCACGATACGTAAATAAAATCCTGTTTCTATAAATAAAACATCCTCATCTTATTTCAGAATAGAAATACTCCAAGTCAAACTTCTATTTGTGACACAAGCCTCACTTAAAGTTGTTCTAAATTCAAACATAATGAGTGTAATGGGTTTATAACTTGCTGCCTGCAGGAACGGTTCCAAACTATTCTTTCTATAACTTTTTCATGGAGTTATAAGTTTTAATCTGACAGGGTTTTTTTTTTTTAAATTACTCGACACTAAAAAACCAGATCGATGGAGTCTGGTCCGTCGACCACTTCACACGAAGCCTCGTCTTCCAGAATCCGCAGCTCCCCGCTGAGTTCAGTCCACAGAGAGAAATAAAAAAACAAAACACCAAGGCCAACGGGTAATTTTGTGGCTCTGCCTGTTATCCTTGTTTAGCCTGGGCTGAGCCAGCCTCCCTCCAGAGAGTGTGTGTGTCTGAGTGTGTGTGTGTGTGTGTGTGTGTGTGTGAGACGTCTTACTTTGCACATGTTATCTCAGCGTATTAATCTGAGTAACTCCCATGGTGCACTTTGTTATTCATCCACGCTGGCGACACCCAGTGGCCGGGGGCAGTATGTCCGCAGGTTTGCCCGTCCGTCCTCACGTTCAGTTCTTGTGAACGCAAAATCTCGAGAAAGCTTCGAGGGAAATTATTCAAATTTGGTAGAAGCGTTCACTTTGACTCGAGGATGTGACGATTTCATTTTGGTGGTTAAAGGTCAAAGGTGAAAGTCGCTGTGACCTTGCAAAGCACATTTTTTGCGTTGTCAAATAGATAGTCTCAAATGTGCTTAAACTCCAGGTCAGGTTTTCACACGTAATCGTCTCAAGTAATTTCAGTCTGTGTGGTATTGAAATGTTTAAAATGATTAAATGTAACTTTTACTAAGCGTAAATCACATGTGAGTCCGACCCTTTGAGAATAGATTTCATTAAAAAAATGACTAATCCTGGAAAGAAACAGCACAGCAAGAATAAAATGAACAGATAAATCACACATTAAGCTCCATAAACGTGTCCGTCCTCCTCCTCACCACTCCATCGTCACCTGAATTGTTCAGATCCACCTGCTTCCTCTCAGAGGATATTTTGAGCTGCTGGGGTCAGTTATTTTTCTCTCTCGGTGACGAGAAGCGCTCGATAAGAGGAAAAGGAGGAAGAGGAGGAAGAGTTCAGCGACAGTGTCGTAAGGCGACAGGAAACATCAGGCAGCTCCACCCTGATAGAGAAAAGGACGGACAGAAGAGATGTTCCTCTTTTGTGCTGTTCTCACTTCACGCTCTTAATTTCAACAGATGTTGTTTGAAGGAGAAAGCGTGGAGTCGATCAGCTGTTTGCAGAGTCGGTGTCGCAGTTTCCGCTCGTTTCAGAGATTTGAGAAGAAAAGTAAAAGTTGTGTCTCAAACTGGTTTCAGTTCCTGTTTTTCCTGTAAATTGGAAATAACCCGTGTGAAATCAAATAATGATTTGGGCGAAATATTGTGATGATGATGATGATGATGATGATGATGGATTCCTCTTTACCGAATTTACGTGTGACTTCTTTTCCTTCCTCTTCACCTCCAGCCACCATGAAGAAGAGCCAGGGCGGCTCCAGCTGGACGAGCGACGCGAGCCTGATGTTCGGGGGAAACGTCCAGAATGTGCTGACTCCGTCCTCCACGACCACCACCACCTCCTCTTCCTCCTCCACGCCCTTCTGCTCCCAGATGACCTCCGTGGACGGAGTCAGCTTCTCCGAGGGCGAACTGCTGCTCCAGGTAACACAGGAAAATACGATTCCCTGACACTAGTCTGTGTGATGTCACATGGCCCCACGTGACAACAAACTGACCGTGGGACGTGTTAAAGTCGGAAGCGAGCTTCTGTCGGCTCCCGAACGTGAGCTGAAACGCAGCTGTAGTCGAGGTTAGAGGGTAGAAGAGCCGAGCCACCAATCACAGGAGAAAACCTCTCAACGCCACACGAAACTGCAAGATTGAGCTTTGCCAAAGAGCCATGAAAAGCAGCCGGACGAATGTTGGCAGCACATTCTCTGGTGAGATGAAACCGAAATAAATGTGTTTGGATCGGAGGAGCTCCGGCGTGTTTGCTGTGGTCCGGGCCCGGGCGACCACACTGACTGAGCAGAGACACACGGAGCTGATATGGGATCTTTAAAACGCCGTGTGCAGCTAAATCCCAGAAGAAAAGATGAATGAAAAGAAGAATAGAGTTAAAAGATAAATGTCAAATCACGGTTTCCAACACTTCAGGGTGTATTAATGTAAAGTTAAATATGTTCTGTGTCACAGGATAAACTGAGGGACTTATGATAAATCTTTTTGTCTCCGGCCTGCAGGCGCTGAGCGGCTTCGTGTTGGTGGTGACGGCTGAAGGTTACGTCTTCTACATGTCCCCCACCATCCAGGACTTCCTCGGCTTCCACCAGGTAAAAGCCCGTCCGCACCAATGACATGAAAAATCAGAGTCTCAGCTCTGTCTCACTGTAAACGTAAAACCCCTTTCCCCCGAGGGACTGTTTCTCCCAGCTCAGATTCTGGAGTACTGGAGTCTCATGGCTGCTCTGAGGTCACGTGAGGAAAACATGCCGTCCAACATGTTTTTTTTTTTTAACCACCCGACCGCATGAGGACGACCCTTGTCACAGAAATAACTCGTTCCCCCCGCACAACGTTGTGTCTTCACCTCATCGACCTCCTGAACTCTAGCTGTTCCTCATAAAACTTCCTTTTAAAAAGATCACAGCGCTGCACAGATTGCAGATTTCCTACTGTCTGTGAAGCAGCGAGTTTCGTTTCATGTTCGTGCTCAGTAACAGTCGACTCGCACAGATTTGAATCTGTCAGTGAACATTATGTTCTTTTTAAGTCAGTCGGAGGCCGTGACTGTTTCCAGACACGCACGCTCCTCCTCCTGGGGACCGAGCTGATAATTCACCTGAACTTAGAAGACAAAAATAACGAGTTAGAAACATCAGGAAACAGAAAAGAAGACAATGTTAACATTCTCTATGCTATCGACAAAAGAAAATAAGAATTAAAATCCCACATCGCAACACGTGATAACATAAAGAACTACCGGCCGCAGCTTTTCCACGGCTCGATCTGAAGTCAGGATGCTAATCAGGGAAGGAAACGATTCACCAGCTGCTTCGACTGTTTACCACCATTATAAACTTTATTTATAGAGCGGCTCTAAGCGCAGTTACGGAGCGGAGAAAAGAAGATAAAGAGCAGACGAGATCGAGATCGGACCGCAGATAGAAAGAGAGGAAACTGATGGAAATGATTCGTCTATGCCAAAATGCATTTCATAGTTTATTTTGAGTTTCAAGGAGATGAAACGTGGAATTAACTCTGAGGTATTCGTGGCACTTAATTCTGTTTCTGCAGTGATTTAAAAGAAGTGCACAAACCTCTCGTGCTCACAAATCCAGACTTGAGGCTTGTTCTGAACTTGGACAAGTCATTTTTCAGCTCCGCCAACAAGGGGCGGGTTTTGTCTCTGGTTTGTTTGTCATCGGTTGAGTAAGAGAACAAGCGGAGAGGTGTGGTTCGCTCAGCACCTCGCTCCCGGAGCACAACAGCCTCTCTGTGTTTTCCAGCCTTAAATCAGTGGCATTCATCCGCCCGGGCATTGTTCACGCTGCGGCGTGTTTACACTCGCATCATCGGTCCTGAACGCAGCTCGCCAATGCAAACACTGGTCGGGATGGAGCTCGCCACCCAAACTGAGGGCGGCCTGGAGGAGGGCCGCTCTGAAACACACACACACAGGCTGTGATTCCTTTATTTAGCGTTTGTTATGATCACGTGTGGACGCCGTGGTGACAGACAGAGACGTCACCGAGCCTCCAGTAGGAGTCACAGGATATCCTCTGACCTCCACTTGATATTGATGCTTGATGAAAAGTTTTAATTTCAGACATAAACACTGATACTGACACGTCGGACATGTCGAACAACCGTCCGGTGAATGATTGTGTTCACTCTGTTTGCGTGAAATGATTGAATGAACAAACTCTGAAAAGCTGACGACTTGTTTCTGTCTGTTTTCAGTCGGACGTCGTCCATCAGAGCGTTTTCGAGTTGATCCACACAGACGACCGAGCTCTGTTCAGACGTCAGCTTCACTTCGCCCTCAAACCCAACGCCAACCAATCCGACAGCGCTGCGGACAGTCCCAGTGAGTGACGACAAGACACACGCAGACACCGGCTTCGCCAGCAGGTCCATAACGATGTCACTATCATATTTACAGGTGAGAACTCTGCAGAGATCAGCAGCGGCGTGCTGACCTACGACCCTCAGGCCATCCCGCCAGAAAACTCGTCCTTCCTCGAGAGAAACTTCTGCTGTCGATTCCGCTGCCTCCTGGACAACTCCTCCGGCTTCCTGGTAACCGTCGATGATTACGTAGATGATCGTCTTCGTCCTCGCCTGTGTTTGTGTGTAAACTTGTCTCTCGTCCGTCTCCAGGCGTTGAACTTCCGCGGCCGCCTGAAGCTCCTCCACGGTCAGAACCGAGTGTCAGAGAACGGGACGCTGGTGCCCCCTCAGCTCGCTCTGTTCGCCATCGCCACGCCGCTGCAGCCGCCGTCCATCCTGGAGATCCGCACCAAGACGCTCATCTTCCAGACGAAGCACAAGCTGGACTTCACGCCCCTGGGCATTGACCCCAGGTACACACACACACACACACACAC